CCCTTCCCAGCTCCTCAGGAACTCTCCAGCCCCTTCCCAGCTCCCCCAGGAACTCTCCAGGCCCTTCCCAGCTCCCTCAGCCCCTCCTGGGGCTCCGTTCCCTCCTCAGCTCCCAGCACTGCTGGCCCCAGGGCCAGGCAGGATCTCAGTGGGATTTCTATGACATTTCTTCAGGATCTATGCACGATTTCCATGGGATCTCTGTGGGATTCCTGTAGGATTGCTGTGGGATCACTGCGGGGTCTCTGCATGATCTCAGTGGGATTTCTGCAGGATTTCTGCAGCATCTCGGTGGGATTTCTGAGGAATCTCTGCAGGGTCTCTGCGGGATCACTGTGGGATCTCTGCAGAATTGCTGTGGGATTTCTATGGGATCTCTGTGGGATTTCTGTGGGATCTCTGTGGGATCTCAGCGGGATCTCTGCAGGATTTCTGTGGGATCTCTGTGGGATCTCAGCAGGATCTCTGCAGGATTTCTGTGGGATCTCTGTGGGATCTCAGCGGGATCTCTGCAGGATTTCTGTGGGATCTCTGTGGGATCTCAGCGGGATCTCTGCAGGATTTCTGTGGGATCTCTGTGGGATCTCTGCAGACCCTGACCAGGTTCCTGGTGCCGCAGGCTCGGAGGTTGCTCTTGCCATCGAGGGACGTCTCCCCCCTCAGAAGAGGCAGTTCCAGCCCATCCATCACCATTGTGCAACTGTGACCGATCTCCACCGCCTGCTGCCGCCGCAGCCCCCGACGGCAGCGGGAGCTGCCCCGGACCTCGGCGGCCGCTGCCCCTCGGGCCATTGCATGTCCCCTCGGTGTGCTTCGTGACGGCGACCAGACCCGTCCCGCCCGGCTCAGCCGCTCACGGGAGGCTGAACAAACAAAAAATCACCTGAAAGGACGCTGCCGGTGGCCGTGCCCGCTCTGTGCGCCGCTGCGTCCCGGTGCCGCTGCGTCCCGGTGCCGCTGCGTCCCGGTGCCGCTGCGTCCCGGTGCCGCTCCTGCTCCCGTCCCGAGAGGGGCTGCAGCCCCCCAGGGTCCCCGGGCACGGCACGGGGGGATTCAGCTTTTCCAGACCCGCCTGGAGCCAGGAGCGAGGCCGCTGGGGTGGCCACCGGGCTGGGCTGCCGTGGCCACCGGGCTGGGCTGCCGTGGCCACCGGGCTCTGGCGCTCCGTGCCAAGCCGGGAGCGGAGCGGGGACCGGGCCAGGCTGAGGAGCAGCAACAGCGGGAGCTGGGCTCCGTTCTGGTGGAAATCAGGGAAATAATGAGCAGGGACGGCAGCTCGCCCCGCTCCATCAGCGCTCCCAAAACACGGCCAGCAGCCCCGGGCAGCGGCGGTGCCGATCCCGCGGTGCTCGGGAGGTCGTTTTTGGTGGAAGGAAATGTTGTTTTTAGTGGAAGGGAATATCGTTTTTAGTGGAAGGAGCCAGGGCCCTGATGCATCCGTAAATATTTAGGGAGGGTGATGGATGAGGGGATCCCCAGCACCGCCGGCTCTGCCGCCCCCCGCAGCCACCCAGCCCCGGAGGGCTCAGCCTCAGGCCGGGGACAGGGACAGGAAAAGCCTGGTGGCCACGGGCCTGGCTTGATGGAAGTGCTGGCAACGAGCCGGGAGAAGCTGGAGGGAAGAGCAGCTTCAGCTGGAAAAGGGGGGACAGGAACGGGGACGGGGACAAGGGCAGGAATGGGGATAAGGACAGGGATGGAGATGGGGATAAGGACAGGGATGGGGACAGGGACAATGCCAGGGATGAGGAGAGGGATGGGTATGGGAATGGGGATAAGGACAGGGATAAGGAATGAGGATGAAGATGGGAATGGGAATAAGGACAGGGATGGGAATGGGAATGGCAGTAAGGACAGGGATAAGGAATGAGGATGAAGACAGGAATGGGGATAAGGACAGGGATGGGAATGGGAACATGGACAGGGATGGGGACAGGGACAAGGCCAGGGATGGGGACAGGGACAAGGCCAGGGATG